TCCTTTGGCTTATTCCGGAGGGTGATGGAGGCACTGGTGGAAGGGGGAACACGGGCCTTGGCGATGGACATGCACCAGACCCTGGTGCTGTGGTTCTTCATGGAGTATGACGAGCACCAGTGCGTGGCAGAGGTGAGCACTTGTGGTTCACATCTTCTTCCCTGGCTGCAATTTTCTTCTGTGCAGTAAGTTTTTCCCATTCTTCAACATGGTCTCACAGAACTTGGGCAACCTGCTCACTCTGGCAGCCCTCCAACTCTCTCCCACTGCCTCTCCAGGTGCCCACCATCGTGAGATCCATCCACAAGCTCCTCACCGTCCGCGGGCTTCCAAATGTCAGGATGCAGGGGAAGATCCAGAGGCTCGCTAAGGCACACCCGTGTGATGTTGTGATGGCTCTGCTGCGCTGTGCCCCAGCGTGTGACAGGTACAGGGCCCAGCTGCCTTGGTAGCTCAGGGCTCACCAGCCCTTAGAACCCATCACCGTGTAGAGTCTGTCCCATGTGGTCTGCCAGAGAGATGGAAAGTTCCAGAGCTCTCTTGCCTCTCCATTTCCCAACCCTGGCCTGTCAGCCCCTGATCCTGCTGCCACGTGCCCTCCCTGCCCCTCAAGGCACTGTGGCTCTGTCACCTGGGCCCCCACAGCTGTCCAGGCCACGGTGCCTTGGCTGAGATCCCCCTGACCCAGAGTTGTGTCTCCACAGAGCCTCTGCCATGATGTGGAAGAGCATTGCCTCCTCGGGAACAGCAGTGGAGAAGGTGCTGCCGACACTGCTGCGAGTTATGGAGGATTGGCCGGCACACAGCATGTTCACCTCCGATGGTGACAACAGAGACGTGATTGCCCTGGCTGTGAGTTTTTATAAGTGGTCTCTGCTCCTCCCCACGTCACCTGCCCACCACTGCATCCCCCTGCCTCAGGCGCTGGGCTGCACATGTGGCTGAGGGGCAGGTTCAGGGGCACCAGGCCGGCTGCTCCCCCTGGGTCTGCCCTGGTTTCTCCCTCCCACTCTCAGGCCCTGTGAAATGGGCATCTCACACTGAGCACTGTCTCCGTGTGGTTTGATTGCAGGCAACCCTGGCCTTGTGGCTGATCCTGCAGGAGCCCGAGTGCCAGGATGCAGTGATGGACTGTGTCCCCCGCCTGCTCGTGGCTCTGCTCTTCCAACTGTCCATGAGCACAGAGCAGGTGCCAGAGGAGGTGAACACGTT